CAATAAATGGCATTTTTAAGTCATCACATACTGTATATCCTTCGTTTTCATTTTCCTTACAAAGATCTGTTTTCAGTTATATCATAAATAAATTTAAATTTTTTAAAAAAATATTCAAAATTTGCATGTATCAAAATACCTGAGCTTTTGATTTTAATTTCATAACTTCAATCATTTTATTTCCTTTCTTTTTAGGTTTCGCAGTAAATGAAGATTGAGATTTTGATGAGGTAGCAGAAGTTGACGTATTATCATTAGTGTCACTATTAGTTTTCTTGAAATATTTAGCAATTAATTCTTCAGCCATTTCTCGTCTTTTTGCTTTATTTTCCGATGCAATGTTTAATGAAGCACATTGATGCGTTGATGGGTGGCGGTGTCTTAAACAATAATAATAATAATAATAATAATAATAATAATTTAATCTACATTATTTGGTTAAAAATAAATAAATCCCTCAAAATAAGTTTCAAAATCTTACTTCAAACAAAACATATCTCCACATCCATCGCAAACTACATATATCATTACACCTCCTTCGGATGATTTATTATTACATAGCTTGAGATTGCATTTTTTTTGAGTTGTAGATGATATTGAGGATAATAGATGCAACGTACAATTTGATCGCTTATGCTCCTCTAACTATTTAATTATTTTAAGATGGGTGTTTGATGCAATTATTAAAAAAATAAAAAAGATTAATCAGCAGAAAAAAATATTCACACTATCAACCAATTATGTGGTTATTTTTGAAATTTCTAGAATTTTTTGATAACAAACAACACACGTCAGGCTAATCAATTATGTGAATATTTTTTTATCCACACAAAACAAATTAAAAATATTTATATATCTCTCATACAATCTTATCTTCTGTTTCATTTTGTGGCACCAATATCATGGAAGAGCAAACTGAACATAATTGGATATTCTTATTTAAAAAAAAATAATAACGATAAAATTATTAGTGATTATTTAAGTGATCTCATTACAGCATATAAAAGCATCTTGATGATCCCCCTTTTAATAAACTAAAAAAAACGATCTCTTGATATATAATAAAATAAAAACATTTAATTGAGAGGAAGTACCAAATTTTTGCACTTCACCACTTTTTCAATAAAAGAAACTTACACGTTTATTCTCCGCCCAACGTAAACAGTTGTGCGAAGGTGGGTATCTATGATCCAAACTTTTTTTTGAAGGAATATAATAAAGTTCGAAACTTATTCTTTACGTCTTTTTTATTTATATAAGAAAAGGAAGCCACCCATACCAATACTTTAAACCACAACAACCGCAATAAAAGGGCAAAAAGTCTATTTGACGGTAAGTATTATTTAAATAAGGCACATCATACTATGATAGATTGGAAAAATATAATGATGCATTATTGGAATTGAGATGGATAAAATACCAAGTTGTTTGCAAGTATCTAACGAACACTGGCCACCAAGAGATGGGAACTCCATCAAAGAACGAATATACATATGCTTCTAGAACTTTTTTTAATTCCATTTAGAAGTTACACGATGAGCCACATTTGCCTAAAAATAGAGCGAGTTTACTAATAATAGATATTATAGTAAAATTTCGAGGTAACGGCCATTACCGGTTAAACAAAATCGTAATATTGTTAAAAAGCAGTATAGTTTCTATCGCATTAGTCATAGCGATAATGATAATCTGCTATTGTTTCTACGGTATTTTTAATACGTACGATGGATGAAAGTATAAATATCACTACGGTTATTAAACATTTTTCAAAAAAAAATTCAAAATTATCTGCAAGCAACCATTTTTAACCATTTTTCTAATTTAAACAATTCAAAATTATCTACTAGCCACACCATTATCCACACTACTGTTATTACCATACTGGGTATTACTAAATCGTTAACTATGCAATTGAAAGTACCATTCGAATACGAATCCGAAACCAAGGAATTCGACTTCGAAAAATACTATTATTATTTTGTAAAAACTAACCCAAATTTATATTATGGTGATAAAGATGCTTTAAATCTCATTAAAAAATACTCAGTAATAAGCAAGTATGAATATCTTCATCCATCATCATTCGATTCTAGTGGTCATTATGTTCGGGCCTTGAAGGATGAAGTTTTTGCTGATAAATTAGGAAGTGTCTTTAAAAGTTTTAATTATGCTTCTGTGGGTGTTATATTTATTAAACTAGTCAAATTATTAAATCCAGACGGAGAGGATAAAATTGGGGAATAATAATGCTTTTGTATATTTCTTAATAATACGTATAATGATATACTCCATTCATACATCGCAATACATTCGCTTCCACAGATATCAATAAAAATATATTGATATTTGCACTGTACAAAGAATCATGCTGCAAATAGAAGGTTTAAAGAATCATGCTGCAAATAGAAGTTTTAAAGAATCATATTTCAAATAGAAATTTTATTGGGACTTTTTTTTAATCTAGTTATAATAATACTAATAAAAATGACCGTGAAAGTTATTCTCTTGATTATTAAATATTAGATAAACCTCGTGATATACAGTATGTGATGACTTAAAAATGCCATTTATTGTTCTTAATACGTTTCTTTTTTTTTATTTTTTTTTTGTCATCAATAAATGTAAATTAATCAAGAAAATTTCTGATATAATAAAATTAAATATTTTCCTTAAAAATTCTATAATTTATCCATTAACCGATAAAATTAACTACAAAAAAGTGAAGAACGATGCTGCAAAATACAAAATCGGCAAAAGCTCTACAAAAAAATGAAATAAATAAAATAATTATATTAAATAGTAATAAAAATTATACGGTAATAAAAGTATAATTATAATTACCTCTCGGGAGATACTGACTTGAATTCAGCTGCATTATCTGGATTAGTTTGTATCCGTAAATTAGCTATATGAAATAAAAAAAGACTTTCAATTAAATTTATTCATGATATAACTGAAAACAGATCTTTGTAAGGAAAATGAAAACGAAGGATATATATGTTAAAAAAAACCAACCTGCCAACACAAACGAACCAACAGTAGAAATAAATCCTGCTAAGAAAGCATTATATGGGAAGGTTCCAACGAGCACACAATGTACAAATTGGAAAACACCAGAAAAGAGAATAAAAACTAAGTAAACATCAATAAGTTGAAGACTTTGTGGTGTATTCTTTGAATATGATGTCCATAATCTTTTAACAGCGCCTGAAACCTTATCTGACATTTTTTCGAATTATTTTTCAAAATTCTTGGAAATTAAATACATCAGAACGACCAATAAAATTGTCCCACGTTAACCAATTACGGAGCTTTTCCTTAACTGTTAATAGTGTGTTTATCCTTATTTGTTTTGTACGTATACTTTGTTAGGTAGATATTATAAACTTGATTAACTTTGAATAAACTTTATATAACAAATAATAAAATGTCAGGAGCAACTAATCCAAAGTCACTCGCAAAAAATATGCCTACACCTCCATCGACTGTTGACATACTGCGTAGATTACTAGTTCATTCTGATGGTCGTGATAAAACTTTAAAAATTATCCAATACTTTGGAAAAATTATTCTTTGGCTTCAGGCTCGTAGGGCTCCCAAATCGATACATGGCCATCTACTTAATGCCATTACTTTACTTATTCGAAATAAATCTTTCTCTTCAAATGTTACTCCTCGTTTAAAAGCAATGACTTCACAATTTAGTACAACACGTAAAATAATTCGTTTAGCTCATTTTCTAGAACCTTATTCAGAGTTACGTGAATATTATACAGGTGCACGTAGAATCTCCCGTTCATCAACTTCTTATGAAAAACTTATTCATTATTTTGGTGCTCTCAATGCATTTCTTGGTCTAATGAATGATATATTCGATGATTTATATTGTCTTGGTAAAATTAATGTTTTAGATAAATCAATTGCTAAATGGGCTGAGCCTATTGCAATTAAACTTTGGTTTTTCTGTATTTGTTTGGACATCCACGAAACCTTATTCAAAATTTGGCAAATGAATCAGAAAATTAAAAAAGTTAATTCAGAGGAATTAGAAAAGTATCAACAGAGGTTACATTGGTTAAATATTAGTTTAACTAAACTTTTTATGGACTTTTTGTTTTGCGGTATGTATTTAAATTCACTAATAATTTTTGTGGGGATGATGCCGGAACCGGGTGGCTTTTCGTTTTTTCTATGGGTTGGCTAGGATTTAGGAGGTTAAAGTTTATAATCAATGAATATAATCAATTAATATAATCAATGAGTATAATAAATTAGTATAATCAATGAGTATAATCAATTAGTATAATCAATGAGTATAATCAATGAATATATGTAGGTTTATAGGATTTATATTTTTAAATAGAGACTCAAAAATTTCAGCATCATTCCCGGCAATTTTATCAAATTAAATTAAAAATGTTATTAATTTTAACTTTTTGACCTATTTAAGGATACGATTTCTTTGATTGTACTTTCTCAGATGGTGTGCAAGCACTTTCTGGGTTCTTTGCTGGAATTCTAAGTAAGTTTATACCTTTATTTGATTTGTCCAAAACTTACTGTTGCTTTTAACTGTTTTTGTTCTTTTATTAACAAATTTCATTAGGTTTTTATAAGCTTTGGGAAAAGGAAAACCAAAAGCTCATGATGCTTTCATAAATAATACTGATTATAGACAATCTTCTTGAAGCTCAATAACTTATTTTGATGGGGAGTGTAATTACTTATGTTAATTCAACCATATAATTACGCTGTTTATTAAAATTATTATTTATACGAATTGTGATTACTATTAAACCAACCATTTTTGTGTTAGCCTTCCTAATACTGTATTTACTCGCCTAACAGTCTCTTTTTATCACATTTGTCATTAGCATTAGCTAATGCTTTTTATTATCACTAAGAGTCATTGATTTGGATTAAAAATGGCATCACTTTATTTAATAGTCTAAATAATAATTCAAAAAAAAAAAAACATTCTTAAGAAAGTTATGTGCAAGTGAATTAAAATAATTTATTTACTTTGCTAGATGGTATATGATATAAAGATTTGGCTACGCATGCCTAATTGATTTATAGAAATCATTGCTCTTTAGCAATATATTTTTATATCATATTTTTAATAGTTATTGTATTGTATATTTAAAAATATATATATTTAAACAAGTAATTTTAAAACTACTTGAGGTCTAAAATTAGTGTTGTCGAACATTTTTAGAACATTTTTTGAACATTTTATTTAATAACAAATAAATAGATTTATTTAAATTTTGTTATAACAATCGATTTTAATTTTTAAATAAAAATATTAACAAACGACGATTTGAATACTCACCGGGGTGGGGGGCGTTATATCTTAAAAACGTACTAAGTAAATGGGATCGGGTGTTCTAAGTAAAAATGTTCAGGACCCTCGAAACCTCACGGCACCTGAAATCGGGACCTTATATCAAATCTACATTATGTTCAGTGTTGGGTAATTGGACCAACTTTGTTAAACTGGACCTTAAATTGGAACATTGGATTTATAAATTTCAATTGGAATATACTGTATAAGTCCAATTCCAATTCAATTACTGGACTTATAAAGGTGACCAACACTGATTATGTTATATAAAACCCCTTTATCTTAAACTGCACCCTAGCCTAAAAATCCTTAGGCTGGTGAATTTCACCTCTAGTTAAGTCTAAATTATTTCATTAATAATTGCATTTATAAAATTACTATAGAATAGAACTAAATAATGCCCCATGCACTTTGTATTTTAATAAATTGCAAGGTTTGTATATAACTATAAATAAATTTTGTATATATAAAAAAAAATAGAAAAATATGCTTATACGTAACTCAAAACCGCTTTTTGAGCTCTGACAAAAAAAAAAAAAATTTCCTTGCTAAATTTTACTATAAATTAAATTCTTTTTACTTTTGACACTTGCTCTTATACTAATATTAAAAAAATTTAATTTTTGGTTTGATAAAAATTAATTGATTTATGTTATACCAATTAGTAATCCATGCAAAAGCACACAGTTTATAAGGGCGCTGAATAGATTTATTTTACTATAAAATTTTGTAAAATACAGTATAAATAAAGAATTTATAATGTATAGTAAATTTATACTATAAGTATATACTGTATATTTAAAAAACAACACTTTTACTAAAACGCACCTATGGTGTTTTACCACCTAGATTCCTATTCTCAAAAACGTACTAAGTAAATGGGATCAAGTAAAAATGGTTAGAACCCCAAAAATTTCACATTAGCACTATATTATATAAAAAAAAATAAATAATTCCTAATACCTGAACCCTAATTCCAAATTTTATTAAATACAATTATATATGGTGCTAAAACACCATAGGTAGTGATTGGACCCGTCAAAAAAAATGCCACCCGGGTCACCCGCGGGTGGACCCATGAGCCACCCGGGTAGAACCCG